GTCTTCCGATCTCCCATCAGGTAGCATTTGCCATCAACAATCAAAGTCCCTGTGTTTTCCTTTTCCTTCCCCCCCCCCCCCCCCCCCCCCCCCCCCCCGTCTTCCCTGCCTGGGTGGGGTGGGACGTCCCCAGAGACTCCTGTCCTGGTCTCTGACCGGAGAGGTGGCAATGCTGGGATCAAAAAGGAACTCCGTCAATCAAAGAAACAGATGGGGGAGCCCGCGGAGGGAGATCTTTTGTCTTGGGGCAGACTCGAAGCTTTCATCTCCTCCTTCTCTGATAAGTGGAGATCGGCCAGATAAGCGGGCGGCTCGGCTGGAGACCAATCTTGTCTGCTGGGGTGTCAAAATCGGCACCGAGATGAAAGTGTCTCTGGAGCCTTGGCCAGATTTCTCTTGTCATTAGAGGCCGGGGAGCCCAAAATGGCCAAGAAAAAAAAAATGATGGAGATTGAATTCCAACACCAGAGGGGTGTGTGTGTGTGTCTGTGTGTGTGTGAGAGAGGGGGGGGCAGGAAGAGATGGAAGGGAGGCAGCAATGTCCACGGTTGAGTGCAATAGTAGCCAAGGCCATCCTTCATAGAAATTGGAAAGAAGGGATGACAGTTACCTAGACAAATCTAAGCTAGGTTGGTCTTATCTCAACCTTGGCAACTTCTAAGAGGTCTGGACTTCAACTCCCAGAATCCCCCAGCCAGCCATAGAGTTGCAGAGGAAACCTACTTTGTGCCACATGATTCCCCAAGGTTTCGGCCTCTTGCATTCGGTCTTGATGATCCTTGTTGGGGTAAGGATATAATCCACAGTTAGATCATGGTCATCGAGAAGCTCTTCTGGAATATCCACTACCTAGTAGAGACGTCAAAGTGTAGGATAATCACACAGGAGGGTCCTTTAGTACCTTCAAAAGACTTTTCCCCCACTTAATTAAACATTTCTCTCACCCCAATTTCTACCATCTGGAGTCTCTCCAGAAATACGAACTTCAGTTCTGGAGTTTCCCAGCCAGACCTGGCCATTTCCAAAACTCTGGAAGTTGATTTTCAATGGGTCAACCTGAGAAGCTGTCCAAGTTGAAGAAGGTTGATTTGAGGTGCTAAGGATCGAGTACCAGAACCGTGACTTGGGCCCAGGAATTTGGACCAGAGATGAAGCTGCCTAAGGTAGAACCGGACTAGCGTCCACCTTGCTCAGAATGATTTACCTTAATTAAGAGAAAGTTCTCTAGCATGGCAAGCAAAGAACATGGGACCTTCTGAAACACATTGTGTTGGATGTTCTACTTAAATGAGCACCAGTCCTTTACTAGAGCTAGTGCAGCTGGTATAGTATCGAAATCGTGACCTCAAATTACTCTTTGCTGTCGGGATTCTGGCAGTTACCCCCATTTAAATCATGAGACTCGAGCCAAACTTCCAAAACTCAGAAAGGATTTATTGGGAATTAAATTGTCCGGCATTGCCTGGGTGTATCCTAATTCATATTCTCCAATGGGACACATCCATAGCCAAGAGTCATCAATCATGTTCTCCAGTTAGAATTTTTGCACGGCAGAAACTTCAGTCACCTAGAAACTATCTTTGAAAACATTTATGGAATGCAGTTTCGGTTTGCAAGGGGCTGCATTGCTCCCCCCTCCCTTTCTGTTGGCAACTCTAAAAAGACCACAGAAGTATTTTATGAGTTGACATTTAGATTACATAAAATTAGTGTGTGGGTGGTATTCTGGAAGCCATTGAGGAGAGGGCTGTCTCCGTCACTGATGAAAGTGAGCTCATCTTTTAATGAGAAACACTGATCTTAAATCAAGTGTGTCAGGGTCCCAAGTAATACACCCATAGCAAGCAGAACTCCGAGGCAAGTAGGTTCCTCAAAGAACAGGTTTATTGGACGTGTCATATTGGCACAGGCTGGTGAAAACCGACTCTGAATATTCCCGTGGTTTTTACCTAATTAAAAGTAATGTTTCCCCTCCCCCTTTCCCAAACAATCAGTCACATGGTCCAATCCAGTTGCCCGGAAACTTCACTCCTCTTTCCATCTGCTTGTGGGAAATGTCCTTGATTCTCAGGAGGAACTATTTTGCTTTGCCTATGAAACCCCCAGCTATCTCTATCCCCACCGTCCCTATCCCTCAGCACAATTGTGACAACACTGAAGCAGTGGTGGGATTCAAATTTTTTTTTTTACTACCGGTTCTGTGGGCTTGATGGCTTGGTGGGTGTGGCAGGGGAAGGTTACTATAAAATCCCCCTTCCCTCCCCACCCCACTAACCTGCTTTCCAGCTCTGTTATCCTGTGCAGGGCAACCAAAGAAGACCCAGCCGATCAACTGGGACTCAATGGGAGGCAGAGGAGAGATGGGGTTGGTGGGGGCCAGTCAGAGGTGGAATTTGCTGATTCTCTGAACTACTCAACATTTCCGCTACCGGGTCTCCAGAACTGGTCAGAACCGGCTGAATACCACTTCTGCACTGAAGCCTCCAAGATTGGCCCTGGACAGTCCAGCTCCAGAGTTGACCCAGCGTTACTTAATCTTGCCAGCTTTAAGGAGGGAAGACGTCAACTCCCAGAATTCGACCATCGAAACCCACCCAACCAAGTTTCTGAGTTAGGGAAACTTGGCCTTAAATCTCCCTCCTTCCTCCCAAAGGCTTTTTAGCTCCCTTGCCGTAACCATTACCTGACAATCATGGACTGCTGTGATGACCGTTGTCTTCTGCCCTACTGCTCCCATGGAAGCCATCATGGCATATTCCATGTCCGCGAAGCCTTCTCCTTTCCCGATCCGCCAGCCTACAGTGGGAAAAAGGAGCACCTGTCAAAAACAGGAACTCAAACACCGAGTTACAGCTGGGCCTTCTCTTCCCTTTTCCCCAAGCTGGTTTGAAGTCCTCCCGATATGCAAGTATCTGTTGTGGCCCCTCCAGCAGCTGAATCAGGAGGAGGAGGCGTGGGAGTAAGGGTCAGCATGAAGACAACCTGGGGGTGGGGTCTGAGGGGGAAGAGGGAATGGAGCTGTGAGGGGGGAGAGAGCGAGAGAGAGAGACAGAGAGAGAGGCAGAGCCTGAGCCATCCCGTCAGCCCTCAGATGGAGAGTCAACAGTCCCCAGGTCTGGAGGTGGCTGATGAGGAAGAGGAGGAACAGCCGGGTCCAGTGCCTGTCCCATGGCTGCAGAGAAGTCAGATGTTGTGGTTTGCCGGCATCCGGTACAGATGGCAGTGGAGTCGGACAGTGAGGAAGAAAGGGGACCAGCCTGGGAGCCTGGAGAGGACTCAGATGAGGGTCCTGCATCCAATGCAGGGATGGGGCCAGGACCATCTGGGAGTGGGGTGCTGCCTTTGGAGTCTGGCAGCAGCGAGGCAGAGGACCCAGGGGAGCCTGTTCCCAGTGCGTGTGTGCGCAGAGCTGCCAGAAGGCGAGAGCAGCTGAAACTAAAGGGGAGACTCGGGAGTAAGGCTGGGAGGTGATTGCCCCTCCCACAAGGGATAAAAGTCAGACCTCAATGACGAAATCTTTGCAGGAAGCAAAGTAGTTTGATAGATTCCGAGTCCTCCTTGAAGCTCCGTGTACACTGGTTGATTTTTTCTGCTACTTCGGTTGGTTTCTGTTATAATTAATTGGATACTTCTGTTTTTTTGGCAGCATTCCACAGCACTGAAAGGCGTGTGCTTATCTTGGGGAACTGTTTAAGGTTAGTTCTGGCTAGGAATGAAAGCAATTCCCAGCGTTGCAATAAAATAGGTTTTGCTTTTAAAACAAGTTTGTGTTTAATTATGTTTGACAAAGCCTGGGGTAGAACAGGAGGTGGCTGATGAGGAAGAGGAGGAACAGCTGGGTCCAGTGCCTAATGCACAGATGCACAGATGCACAGAAGGCAGAAGAGAGGAGAGCAGTGGAAATCTATGGGCCGGTCCTTGGGACGGAAAGAGCCAATGCTGCTAGCAAAGGCCCACCCTAGCTCTGGGGATAAAAGGCAGGGGGCGGAGATGAATAGATGTGACAGAAAACTATTCATCTTCCTGCTGGGCAGACTTATCAACCTGGGAGAGAAACTTTTGAGCTCACGTCAGAGGGTTTGTCATGTATGGGGAGCTGAGTCAGAACAATAGCTCATCAAATCCCCTCTGAAATTGTCCTCCAAGGATCGGGTAGCCTATCATTTTGCTGGGAGAGGCCAAAGGAATCTCAAATGTGTTAGCAAAAAACAAAGGACTCTCAAATGTTAGCAAGTTGAAGAAATGAAGGCTGCATGGAATGAGAAGCCCCTGATGTTCCCAGGTTTGAGAGCCACTAACCTTTCTCAGAGACAGCCACGGATCCCACCACAACCAGGTCCACATGGACTTTTGCATCTAGTCCTACAGGGACACTATAATCTCTGACACCCTAAGAGAGAGAGAGAGAGAGAGAGAGAGAGAACAAAGAACAGACATGATAATCAGGAGAAGGAAAATAAGAGAGAACAAAGAACAGACAGGAGAAGGAAAATACTTCTGAATTCTCCCTTTTCTACGTCTACATCAGGGGCGTCCAACCTTAGCAACATTAAGACTTGTAGACTTCTACTCCCAGAATCCCCTGCTGGCTGGGGAATTCTGGGAGTAGAAGTCCACAGGTCTTAACACTGCTAAGGTTGGACACCCTTGCTCTACACAGACACTAAAAATTCATTCATTCAAATAAGTAGGAACCATCCCTGGACCTCACATCACTTGATAATATCTGTTAGCAACTAAGATGCTCTAGGCTGATTTTTGGCTAGGGCAGAACATATATCTAAGTTGCCATTTCAATGCCAGCCCTCTACCTGAGGGTATCAGTATGATCTAACCCTAAGCAAACATAGATGGGTCCTTTCCAGAAGCTGCTCTCATGTCCTCCCATCAGTTCTACTAGTGGGAAGGTTTCGTGGGACCACTGGATTTCTAGACTGTGCTCTTCTGGGTCCAAGGAAGTAGAAACTCTCATTCATGTCCTCCTACATTGTCCTTTAATGATGCTCCAAGATGTGCTCTGATCTCAAACATCTCTAAATTTGAGGGTCATCCTCATAAAGGTTACCACCATTATATTTTAAGGGATGCCAACCCTATACTCAATGTCAGGTGCCCAAATATCTTCGCCAAGTTATACGACTGGGCAAAACTTTTAATTAAGTATGTCATTTTATTGTCCTATCTTTTTTCCCCCCTATCCCAAGGATGAATTCAGTCAAACTATCTGTTTTATTCTAAAGGCTTATCAAAGGCTGCAATAAATATGCTTGATTTGTCATTTCGACACAAGAGGGCACCAGAGTTCCGCGTTGAAGTAGACGGATAAAAGAGGACCTTCCAAATCAGACGCACGCTATGCAATCCTGCCTCACTTGTTTCTGATACTTACTTGGGAGGTAGCACATTTTCTTAGTGTTTCCTTAGTGGCCCCGGGAGGAGGCACAATTCTGTTGAACAGCCCAGCACGCAAACGTGGGGTGGGCACCAGGAGGGTTTTCCTGGCCTGCAAGAAAAGGAAATAAGTCAATGGATCCGTCGTCCAATTATAACTACGGGGTGTTTTCTGAACTTGATTGTTTTCTTGCTTTCTTACAGATGTTTCGTTACCCAACTAGATCATATCATTAGTGATATTATCTGATGATGATGCCTAGTTAGGTAATGAAACATCTGCAAGAAAGCAACCAAGTTCAGAGAGCGCTAAAAACCCCACAGTTGTCCTCCTCCTCCTCCTCTTCCTCCTCCTCCTCCTCCTCCTCCTTTCCTCACACCCTGCTCCCTTCTAGCACGGATGGTGTTCCCTAGTTGGGTCATGAAAATGTCTGCAAGAAAACAACCAAGCAAGGAGGACACCCAGCACCCTGCAATTCAACCCTGACTAACTCTCCCCCACTTAAGATTAAAAAAAAAAAAAGCAGGGGAATGATAAAACCAGTAAAAAGGAAGCATTTCCTCACACCATTCATAATGGACTTATGGAAGACATTAAATGAGATGGGGAGGACAATTTTGAAGACCACAAGAACGGAACAAAAGAAAGTTACGCAAAAGGAGAATACTCATTGGAGGTAATGGTTACTGTGACTAAGCAGACTACAGGTTTGGAATGATTAGAGAGCAAGGGTCTTCAAACTTGGCAAGTTTAAGACTTGTGGACTCCCAGAATTCCTGAGCTAACATGACTGGAGGAGGAAGTCCACAAGTCTTAAAGCGGTCAAGTTTGAAGACCCCTTGAATAGATAGAGAAAGAGAGAGAGAATAGATAGAGAGAAAGAGAGAATAGAGAGAGAGAGATAGGATAGGATAGATAGATGATAGATAGATAGATAGATAGATAGATAGATAGATAGATAGATAGATAGATAGATAGA